TTTTTTTTTTTTTTTTTTTGGAAACAAGCGACCGGACGTTGGCTTGCCTGACCCCCGAAAGTCGCGGCGCGTTAACGACCGCGACTTCTAAAATACAACAGGGAGGTACTGGTGGTTTAAAAAAACAAACAAACAAAAAAAAAGCACTAGACATGTACGGCTTGCGGGGATGACTGGATTCCACAGCTTAGGGCCTCGCTCCTGCACTCTCCCAATGTGCAAAGTGAGACTGAATCCTTCGCTAAACATGGGAAGATACATTGCTACAATTTTTGTCGTTTCTGCTTGTGAAGAGTAGTGGAGCGAGACCCATAAACTGGCGGAAAGGCAAGTCATCCTCGAAGAACACGAGTGCACATTTCCACAAAGCTCGAACGATATATGTATTCAAATTATAAAATTGGCCGCCTCCTGTGGGAACATGCCCTCAGTTTGTTATTCGTTTCGTAAGTGGTCCAGCCTCCTGGAGCAGCTGAAAGCCCCAGGATGAGTCAATAATAATCACAGCCCCAGGAAACAACAAACACCAATCTCAGTGTTACACGATGTGTCAATGGGACGCTGGACCCAATTTCCAACAGGTGCTGCTCCCCACCAATAGATGGAGCAGCCCGACATGTAAGCCCTCAATTTCGACGGTTCTCTTACCACTGCCAGGATAGTGGGATCTCGCAAGGGCCTTTCTATAAATAAAAAATGTGTTTGAATTATAAAATTGAAAAACAACACAAGTGTGTTCAAATCCCAAAGACTTTTTTTTCCTTCGCGACAATTTTCGAAGGCTCTCGCACCTTCCCCGTTTCCCGTCGTGTTGGGACTTCACACTGTTCACAGGGTAGTGAGCATGCTCATACATCCATCAGAACAAAGACCAGCAATTGTCCTACCACTTGTCTCAGTTGGCCTTTTCCTTACCTCAGTCACCACCAGCAGACACTGACAGTTACCGAGTTGTTTCGGTAACAAAATCGTTTCCTCGCATTTTACTACTCGGCAACTCTTCTTCGCATCCGCACATTCTCAACATCTACGGTTCATGCCCTCCACTCAATTTCACTAACGATGTACCTGGGCCAAGGTTAAACATTGTAACGGTTCACGACACTCAGTTGGACTTCGGATTGGGACCAAGGACTGCACGACATTCGGACCAAGATCAAGGACAATGACTTCAGGTTGGACTTGGGACCTACAACTGTGAGGCAACAAGATCAGGACCAAGGACCAAGGAACTTACCCAAGATGCATCTGGATGTCGCTGACCCAAATGGCACTACTCCCTCCGCCCGTGATGGTATAAGTTACCGACAGCGCCATAGTGGAGGCAGGCCGTGAAACTTGTTGAATCTGTTGGACTTCCAACCTCCCTCGGTTGACCATCTGACTGTAACACTCATCGCGTATGCAAATCTGCAGTCATACAGTCACTTCCGTCAGCTGGTCTGAGGAGAGTCATTTCTCCTTCGCCAATTTTGGCGAGGGGGCGTTCCCACTTCTAGCCTTTGGGACCTCCATCTCCCACCAAGTCATGCGAGTCGTCCTACGATCAGTTCGTGTAAGTCATCCTCCGGTCTGTTCGTGCAAGTCATCCTCCGGTGAATTCGTGTCCTTAATGTCGGTGTCAGTTTTCGGTTAGAGGTCAGTCCTTCGTCTTCCTCCCCCATCCCACCAGTAAGTACTCGACTATGAATGTGTTGACCTCAAGACCT